AACAAAATACATAACAGTACAACATTGCAATATTTTGACTGACAAATAAATAAAAACCAAAGAAGCAAAAGTCACAAATCCATTAATGAAATATCTTAAACATTCAATGTGAAAGTTAAAAAGAAGGCACTTTACATTAAAGAAATTGCATTAAGTGAAGCAGGCTTGAAAACTTTGGAGGATTCTAAACATAAACAAACCTGGATATAATAGACCAACCTAACTACAAGGGCATACTTCTGCACAATATTTGGAATGAATGGTGTACTCTTGCTTGATGATTACTACATTTGGGGAAAGAAAAATTTTATCTACAAAAGACTATTATATATATCCTCAGATTAACTGCTTAATTTAATTATCCAATTAGTATATAATACTGACATCATAATATGCACACATCATCTAACATACTAGTTTTTTTTCTGGAACTATGAAAGATGTTCGTCTCTTCGCATTATTACACACGTAATCAACATGCATACACGTCGTTATACATGTCATATTGCGCATACAGAAGAGCAGCTATTTTTCCAGAAGCATTAAGAGATATCCTTCTCCCCACAATATCAGATTTATACGAGAAAGGATTGCTTTTTCTCTCCAAAGGATTTATAATTAATTTTGCTAAATATTTTTCGATTAATTGCTAGAAAATACTGTATAATTCAATTCAGAATAAAAGTATTGAGATGGTGAAACCGTGAGTAGCTCATTGAAGCAACTATAATACACATTGTTTAAGTGAACAGAAGATTTGATAGTAACAAGCTTGAAATTGTTCCATTTCAGTAACTGATTAATTTAGGAAATCAAAAAGCCTGATTCTTCAGTATACATATTTTTCTGATTGAAATTTTCAAAAAATGAATAAAAAAAACTACCACTGCTAATTTGGGTTTAATATTTTAAGTTATGCGTTATTTTTTGGTTTCAATGATGTCAGATACTTTGATGGGCTTTTTTTTGGATGCGAATGAAGAGAACTTAAATCATCAAGAAAGCTATTAACTAGTCTCCATGCAAAGGTGTAAGGGAAGGGAATAAGATGTTGAGATTGTAAGACTTCATTTTGGCCGTCGCAATATTTACTCTAATTTATCTCAATAAACGGCAAGAAAAGACACACTTCTCAGACCCTTTCATGATAATTGTTTGTTTTACATGCTTATCTACGTTACTGCAGTGTTTTCGGACTCGTATCTTGTAAACACGTAAGTCTGTGCCTGGAAGAGTGCATTTGAGAAACGCAGAGTTTTACACGCAAATTCTGCGTGAGCATTCCATGTACTCATGTGGTACGGTTGTATGCGTATTAAGTGTATATGTTTGGATGTATGCAAGTGGACAACAAGATGAAGGTATATGTTTATTGTAGTGTGTAAATGTTTATACGAACTTTTCGCGTGAATATCAGCCCATGTACAGGCAGTCGGTCAGTGTCCACGCTTAATAATGAGTTGTTACTGAGTGAAACAAAGCACTACTTGCTACAACGTTTACTAACCAATAATATCCTTGCTTTTTAATCATACATGATATTGCTGCTACATACTAAGGTTTGATATACTTCAATTACTGCTCATCACCATAATACCTCTAATACGCTTTGAGGCCAAAACTCATTATGTTAACACCGTTACTGCTCTTTACGTATCACTTGCTTACCATTGCTTCTATTAACATCAGTGCTACTGCTGTTTACTCTATCATCACACAACACTATTCCCTACTACTAACTGCAGAATAATACTTATTTTTCCTAATATCTTTCAACAACCGTTTCTACAATCTACCACAACCATCAAACTTCTTTTATGATTTTTACGCTAGTCACTCATTACTGTTATTACATTTACTGCTTGCCACTAAAGCTGATCTGTTTACTACTAGCTCTCATCACTTCGTACTACTGAGCATAGTTTTTTATCAATATCACAACTGTCACTCACAGATACCATATATATTACTAAACATTACTCATTACTACCAAAGACTTACAAATAGGCGAACTAATGCTGACCATCGCTTGAATATGATAGAGTTAACTACTACCTATAATTGTGAATGCCCAGTTATTTTTCATTTGCATTCAACCTTCTTCAAACGACTGCTTAAGTATTTGAAATAAAAATATGTTACAAAAAATGAGTCGGAATTGCAAATAAGTAGTCTAAATTCCATTTCAATTGTAAACCTTAGATGAAATATTCTCTGGAAATTCAACAATGCAACAAGCTTTCAATTTAACAGAAAATCAAAGCCAAACTAGGCAAAACGGTTTCAAAAATGTAAATATTGATAAAAAGTTTTAAGTCGAAAATATTAGTAAATTATTTTTTCGGCCAGCTTTTGAAATTATGACAGAACTCCATGCAAAAGTATTCTTCTTAAATTAAATCAATTGGATGATTGCAAGTCATAATGGTATGGCTAAACAGCACTGACAGGTGATGGAAAAAAATTTTGAAAGTCACAGCCTAATGTTTCGAAGTACAAAACATATTAGGAGAAATAATTTAAGTAATTCTCGTTCACAAAAGTATAAGTATAAATGAGCAACAATTATTCGTATATTGCATCATAGTCCATTCTTTTTGTAAAGATAATCAAATCATTATCTACAGCAAAAAATCTTAAATTTTTATCACTTTATCTATCGCAAAATATAAAATTTCTATCCTATTTCAATTAATTAAAGGTAAAAACACTAAAATGTCAAATAAATTTCACGTAAAATGCCTTAATGGCTTTTCACGAGTTAAAATTATTTAAGTAAATAGAAGCTAAAATTATATATGATTGACTCTCGGATACAAAAAGAAATGGAAATGACAATATGCAAGATAAGTTATTTGTTTATACCGTACAGTTCAAATATCATTGGTAATGATTGAAGGGAAACAAAGTATTTAAACGACGGAATTTTTTTTTCAGCTTAATGATCTCATTTGAAAGCTGAAAACTAAGCAGCACTTAATACAATACCTAATGTAATTTCCACTACAGCATAAATTGATTAAGAAATACTATACGAAAATAGCATAAAATCGATCATAGTAGTAAAAATTTCCAGTCCCATTAATGATAATCTATTAGTAAATTTCTGATTACAACGTTTGATCTCCGCATGCAAAAAGAATATGCTCAATTTTTGAGCAGTATTCTGACTTACTTCATTAATATTGAGTAAAAGGAAATACTTAAGACATTTGATTAGAAAATCAAAATGCAGTAGTGGTCAATCATACCGGGCAACGGTGGATGAAAATATTTTGAACCAATAACTGAAAATGGACAATTGTAAGTACATTTGTAGTTAGAGAAACATATGATAACTTAATTAGATCAATAAACAAGTAAAACAAAATAGATCCATGATAGTTTAGGAAAACCGCACGTGACTCTTACTGCTTTAAGTTTTAGCCTATTTTAAATATACTTTTATCCTAGACGTATAGGAAAATGAATTTTATCCAATGCAAAAATGATAACAGAATAAATGTATAGTCCTTGCCTCATTTTGCTTTTTATACTAAAATAAAATGTAGCAAAAGAAAAACAGTGTCCTGAAATAGTCGCAGGCACCCAAGTAACAGAATTATTACAAAAATTGAACGAACAAATCATAAAGCTTCTAACACGAGTTTCACTTCAAATGATCGAAGGCTCATTAATAATCTTATTTTTAATTTTAAACAGGTAAATTTGTATCATATCATTAATGAGAATGAATATATACTGAAACTATCTTCATTTGTAATAGTGATTCACAGTACTTTTTCTCAAGTTACAGCACTTTCTCAGCAAATAATAATGGGATTAATGGCGGCGTATGAATTCGATAAAATTTTAACTGAAATTAAAATATGTCTGAAATTATGAAAAACTGTAAAGACATACAAAACAAAGTTACGCCTTTGTGCATTCTTCCAATTCATTGTCAAAGATGCTCTTCTCGCTAATGGTACCCTTTATTCTGAATACTTGTAACTTCGAGATGAGTAACACATAACAATCACTAACACAATAACAAAATAACACTGTTTTCACTCAAAAAAGATTTTGCTAATAATTATGCATATTATTTTTGAATACTGTTGAGAAGAAAAAGACAGTAGCTAATGAAATGGAGTATTTCGAAAAAAAATAGTTCTAAACTCGACTAGATAAATATTACCACATAAAGAACTTGTAGATGGTGTGTAATGCCTTGAACAAACACTACAATAAGTTATATAAAGGGATTAAATTTCCTACGTTACCAAAAAGCGTAGTAAAACTATAACTTAGTATAAATCGTAGGTCAAAACGTTACGTTAGATATCATAGTAGCCAAAGTCACAAATTCTCTTTCAAATAGTTTGATAATTATTAGGATGCAACGCCATGCAGATATTAACCCAATATACAGTGGAAATTTTAAATACAGTGCGTTTGTTCAAGACAAAACATGTACCGAGAGAAGCAATCACTCCATGTATTTGAAATAGAATGCAGAAGATAAAAATTACTGCACGCTTCACCGAATAGTAAAATACTTCTAGCAAGAGTTACAAATTATACAATGATGAATATGATAAATTATCACTTTCTTTGATGCTATTCAAAAAAATTTTGTACAAAGTTCTCATAAAAAGCTATGAAAGAAATGGACGAGAGTCAGAAGAAATGTACACCAGAAAATAAAGAATATGTCATTTCGTTATGCAAAAAAATACATTGTTGTATACATAATTCAGGATGAAGAGCATCTTGCGTCTACTGCTAAGTTCCTTCCTAAATTACAATGACGTTTTAAACATAAAAGTTACACTTCTCTAAAATTTGCACACCAATAGTAATTGTTTCATCCAGTTTTCTCATAAGCTGCAGTCAGCAAAGGGAATGAATGGATCTCACTTCACTTTTTAGTCTCCTTTTTGGTTGTTTACCCAAATATAACACAGATTGTTTTTTCTCTTTACTACAATCCTTTCCGAATAGACTACTAAGTTATCTTAAAAATCTGTAAATTCTTTTGCGCATTTCTCGGTCCCCGAAATCCGTAACGGTTCCTCTTCATAGTCATCGAAATTGGACGCATCACCAGCACCACGACATTTGGGTAAAAATGGTGCTTCTATCTAAAAATTCGATAGCAAATACACAGTGACACGAAAATCTTTTGTAAAACCATAATCAGGTATCTAATACATTAATAACTCGTTTGGTTTAGCAAATTTTAACAACTTTCCAAAATGTATGAAAAGAACAAATTATACTCGCAAGAAACCATGTCACTTAAATTAACCTTATTAAAGTAGCAAAATAATAAGGAAATAAGATTGCAGTTATACAAAAAACAACAATTATAATAACAACAAGAGAACTAACGATAAATCAAACCATTACCATTGTCATTATCTATCACTGAATGCAACATTTTGTGTTCTAAGCATATAAAACTTGAGTGAGAGATATTTCGCATATACGTTTTAAAAAATCAAATTATACTTTTTGTAAACAAAAAACCAAAGTTTTAAAGCAGCGTTTTGCCCAATACAGTTCATATTCCAAACGAACTGTAAATTAAACAAAGCATGAAAAAAACTAAAGAAATTATCAATCATGCTTTTAAAAATTTCCATCAAAATCAAAACTGCTTAAAAATTTCCCCTAGCACATCTTCATGAGCGATTCGAAAAAGTTCTGGATCTTCTGGCTGAGAGATGAAATGCCTGGTATCTTCAATACTGGTTACCCGTGGATACAGTGCTTCAAACAGCCGATTGGACTGCTGCTCTTTACCAGTAAAACTCGGTGGTATAATCTAGATTAAGTAAGAGCAATCCAAAAATGCACACGATAAGTGAACATGCAAAAAGTGAACTTAGGCATGTCATAGAGTGCCTATTCAATGCAAAAAACATTAGTAATTTCTTTATTACTAGTTATATTACTCTAGTTACCATAGTCACTACTTCATTCCGTAAAATATTCAAGCGTTTCTGTAAATTACACACATTTTAAAAGTATTTAAGGCAAAAGCTGTATTACTGCTAAGTCAAGCAGAAAAAAAACCAAGTGAGAGAATAAGATACAGATATGTTCTGAATCCTTCAAAAATGCTAAAATTTGCTTTTATCATGTTGAAAAATAACGCTAGCACAACATGCAGTGAAAAAAATTGTACATCCACTACGTTAATGAAAATGATTTTTTAGAATAAACAAAATTTATAAATAAATAGTGACAATAGTTAGGAACTGCCAGAATTGAAGTTCAACCTTTTTCTGATAAACAGAAATCCAATCGGTTGAACCGAACCATTTGTGATTCTTTATATCAGCAACACCGTTTTTCAAATTACCATATCTTTTCGTCAAATCAACTTGTAATAGATTTTTTAATAAATCCTTCAATTCATTGGAAAAATGTGACGGGAATTTCACCTAAACAATAAACACTTTGCTGCAAAAATTTTCAGACTTTTTTCCCAAAATTTTTGGAAATTATAGTCTTTTATACGAGCAAAAACTTACTGCATTACTTATCAATAACTTATTTTTGTTCATGACCTGATATCACTGCATATATTAAGACTCAATTTCACATTTTCAGAAATAAAAATGTGCTAAATCAAAATCGAACTAAATTCGAAAATATAGTGATATAAGTAATGTTTTAAACTATTTTATTAGACACACTTTCCCAGAAACAATTTTTTCGTAAATCTGGATCGGCTGGTCAGCGAAAAACGGCGGATAACCCGCTGCCATTTCATATATCAGCACACCCAATGCCCACCAATCCACTGCTTTATTATAACCCTGAAGATTAACATAATCTCCTAAAATAAGTCAGAATTTTTTCTACGTATCACTAATGAGATATCTTGACAACACTTTTACCCACTTTAGGCAGAAAAAAATGCATCTTACAATTTTAATTGTTTAACAAACGTAGAAAATTCATTCACATATCATAGTAACTATTTGAAAAAAAATACTTTGCTCAGTATTATTTCTGGTGCAAGATATTCAGGTGTTCCACATAAAGTCCAAGTCCGCCCTTTTACACGTTTTGCAAAACCAAAATCGGTAATCTGTAACAACATCACACAATATTTACCATTCTGATGACTAAACGAATCATAACTCCATGAAATTTGGTAATTTTAATTCACTGCACACATATAAATTTCTCATATGAATTGATTATGTTTTTCCAAGATGTGTAAGAGAGCCAATATTTTGTTTAGTTCAGAAAATATTTCATTATCAATATTTCATATGCAGCAATAAAGCTGCATCAAACAGAAGTTGAACATGACGCCAAACTACTAAAAAGTCGATGTTTTTTCACCCTAATTTAGATGCATTATACAACATACACTGTTTATAATATAGTACCATTTAATATTAGTGTTTCAAATGATGTCAAAAAGTTTGGTATAATTCAGCAATCTCAATAGAAATAGACCTTTATATAACCAGTGCTGTCAATAAGAAGATTCTCAGGTTTAAGATCTCGATATATGAGGTCAAGCGAATGGAGATATTCGAATGCAAGAACAATTTGCGCAGCATAAAAACGAGAATGCGGCTCGCTAAAACGACCGATACGTCGCAAATGTGAAAACATTTCACCTCCACTAATGAATTCAAGCACCATATAAAGATTCGAATTGTCCTGAAATATAACAAAACTTTTATTTAGTTTGAGCACCCCAATGTAATAATAGTTTATCAAACTTATGACATGTCCATTGACTGCTTTGATAAAGTTCTAGCCGCTTAGTGCAGTTTTGGCTAACCGCTTCATTCTCGCTAAAATCTCTGCTGGGACATTATCGTAGCTTTCTCGGGTCAGAGTGCTACTGCTCCCTTTCATTATTAGATATTTATATCTTTGAGCTCATTCCAAGAACACTGCCTTATCAGCCCATACCTCGGTGTTAATGCTGATTTTGCTGAAATGACCTCTAGTCCTACCACAGAAGAAACCTCTGAACTTCTTCGGCCATAGATTTCATGGTATTCTCGTGGGTCGCAAAGATGTTGAGATTATCCACAGATAATAAATGGTTGTTATGTGCATTTTTTAATCGGTGAGAACCGTGACCTTTGAGTATTTTGCATTGAGCTGACTATTCAACGGTTCTATGCAGAAAATGAATAGCAACGGAAAAAGGCTCTAAGAGGGTTTTGTGGAAGTTGTTCACACTTATCGTCTTTCCTATGCTTGCCTTTCAAATCGATGGCTCCCGCCTTGTCAAATCTTCACAGCATTGCTGTGCCACCTGGAACTGCCAATATCAGTCATTAACGTGAGTGGATTATGTGTGGCGTAATTTACACGTTGCTTAATTCACCAACCCAAGTATAAACAGATCAACGTTCTCCGAAATTATTTTCCGCGTCGACTTTGTCTGGTCTACGTCACGTCACTGACCTTTTGCATCAGCACTAGATACTTTTGCTTTATGCCCAGACTGACCTCAGATTTGTGTAACGTATTCCTCTCGAAGTTGCTGTCATGTATTTTGACATGTTTTGCAAATTCGCTTAAGAAGCACTTTCATGAGCATGGATGATCTGCATGTAATACTAGTAATCGCAGAATTCGTTTGCTTCTTCAGTTTTTTAAGGGTTCGTACACGAACAACTTACCATACAGAGAACAAAATAAGTGCTATTCCCCTCTCGGCATCTTCCCGCTCTGGTGATCTTGATTCCATGAGTGAGTGTTTCGAAAGTAATCGTCCTGCTGGTACCTGGTTTTGGTACACTAACAGAGTGAGTTTTATATCCCACTGCTGTCTATTATGATAACATATGCAGTTCTATATATATATATATATAATTTATTTATCTATTTACACAACGAAAAGCTTGCAAAGAGTAAACAAACTTTGAAAGAATATTGCATGTTGACCAAAAAAGGAAAGTCGATAGCTTGAAGTATGCGTTTTTCATTGAGGGTATGCTCAACTTGCTTCAATTTTACCACTTTCTGCTTGTCCAAAATTTTCATCGCATAATACAACCCGCTCTGCTTATGCTTCACTAACATTACACGTCCAAATGATCCCGTCCCCAAGGTTTTAATACGATCAAAATCATCTAATTGTGCCGTGTTCTAAAAAATCATTCATTAAGCACTGATAATATCACTGCCTCAATATAGTGATGAACAACAAATATAAATGATACTGCAATTCTTCTTCAAAGTTAAATGTAAATAAAGCAAACCGTATCAAACAATGCATAGTTTTCATCAATGTACCTGCTGAAAAAAACCAAATGATCAGTGGGTAAAAATATTGCAAGCACAACCATGACAAATCCACGAAAGTTATCAACAATTTTTGATCGGTTCGGCGCAAGCTTTCTATGATGTATTCTGTGATGCTTTCACATAAATATATATGTCATAATTGTATTATCATTCGTTTCATCCCCTCACAACAACACTAGACATTTTCGAACGTAAAAATGTAAACTCAAACGCCAAATTGCAACTACAGTAGCTTGAACAGCTTGCAACTATCTAGCATGAATTACTGCAGCAAATGCACATACATGAAGTATTCATTTATTGTCATCCTCACCAAACAGTGCTATACATTCTGGTAGCTGAGTAATTTCAAATAATACATGGGCAAAAAATTCTAATTCTATTTGGGTATGCATAAGGAAGAAAGGAAAAATGAGTAAAGTAATACAGTACGATACATAAACAAACATGATGCTAGTCATTTATTTTTCAGTTTAGTACTGATTAACATACCTACTTTGAATAAGAGGTTACGAAGCTGCAATATCTGTGTATTAAATCTCCCAAGAAACAACTACGCAATCTTTTTATCCATCAATTTTTTCTCTTCAAAAATGACAAGTACTATTTTCAGACCACAAACTAGTCTTGCTCGAAAATAATATTCAAAATCCCAAAATAACTAATTGCTCATTCAATGCTTCTAACAAGTGAAAGAGAGGCAAACAAACAAACAAACAAGCAAGCAAGCCTTTTCTACCAAACAAATATTCTGCTAATAATATAGAAAAGCTGTACTTGCGATTCATATCTCTCTCACTACTGTTGGTTTTTCGGAAGCTTCAGCATTCTCAATTTCTTCATTCACATTTTCCCTTGTATATTAACATTAGTATAAACCGCCGTTTTTAGTGACAAAATATTGCATATAACGAAAAAGCATTCAACACAAACACACACAGAAAAACAGGTAATCTCAAGGTAGTTTTTTGAGTTGACAAAGCTGGTAGAGATTAAAGTTCTTAGCGCTAAAGTTATACTTTACTGCTTTACTTATTTTCCACTTTTTTCGAACAAAATGATGAGCTTCATTTTATGGAGAAATTCCCATAAGTGGTAAGCAACGAATGCAATCATTCTCAGCTCTAAGCTTTATAATATTCCTCCTCCAGAAAAAAATTGCACATAGATAAATTTATATTCCCAAACATTCTAAATCTTTGTACTCTTTATATAAAGATTATTTAAGAAATATAGTTAACGTGTTAATCACTACAGATAAAGCATTTCTAAAATTCACTCCATATTCTTAATTTATAAAAAGCAACTGCTTCAAGATGTCTTTAAGTACCTGTGCAGGATTTTCCCATCGTTGCTTGAAGTCTTCTCGAGCTCTTTCCAAAAATTCTTTAACTGAAATTTTAAAAATTGAACAACTGACAAATTTAACATGACTTATAATTCTTTACTTAAATGAGCAATATCTTCTTCTGAAAAGTTGCTAAATATTCAAAAGAGTATTTTAGGACTAAAACTTGGAAGTAAAAAATAAGAGCAGCATGAAAACAGAAAAGCTAAATAACCAATAAATGATATTAGAAAAAAATTTTTGAATTTTAAAAATAGCACAACAAAAGTGAGAAAAAAAAGCAAACAGAATAAGAACTTCATAAAACTTCAAACGAGTTAAAAAAATTCTTAATACAATAGCTGCTGAATTGGATTTAATCGCACAAAGTTTACGGCAGAAAATAAAGCAATCTATTTTTACTTGAATTATTTCATTTCAAAACTGAAGAGAACATGTATACGTATGTGGTTTCTAATTTATGGTACAATTTGTAACCATTAATTGAATAAGACCGATAAAGTAAAGCAAAGGGGATTGAGCTCATTACATTACAACGAAATAACTAGAACAATTTTGTATAAAATTCCTTCCAACTAGCCAATTCTTCGGAAAATCTAATATATTTCTTTAGAAGATAGCTTATAACAAAATAACATACGATAATGTATTAAAAAGCGCTTAATGCCTGCTTCATGTCGGAAAATTAAGATTTTTGCTCATAATCTCAAGAAGGTGCTAAATGAGGCTTCGTGAATTATACAGAATATAATTTGTCAGTTATGTAGCGCTAATTGATAAATCATTCATTCATAAGTGTGCTAAAATCGAACAATAAATTGTGATTTAAAAAAAGTGATTATACGACAAAAAATCAGAGACGATCATATGGCACACAAATTATTATCGAACTTCTACGAAAATTTAAAGTATACTTAGACGATATGAATAACTATCTCAATGTATGTAAATGAAAGCTACAAACAGTACTGAAATGCTAAAAAATTTTATTATGATCGCTGACTTAAAGAGAGGACTGATTGCTTACAGAAACTTTGTTATTACTTATACTCACTTATTTTTACGAGTTCACATCTTCCAATTGAGAATATGATAGTATCCAAAAATTGACTGATTGAATATAACATTTCTTCTGATGCTGCTGGATGTAAATTTGCAGCGAAACATTTTTCTAATGATTTTATTCATTATCGCTGTATGAACAATCCACACTAAGTCATATAATCTCTTAAGCAGAAACTATCAAGACCATTACTAATGAACAGAAATTATCGAAAATTATCAAAACCAGAGGCTGAGAAGCAGAAAACTACCATCACATTTTGCCACATGATAATGTATAATTTGATGATTTACTGTAATCCAAACATTAGAATGCTAATGCCATTAGCTAATACTAAAGATATTTTATAAATAGGATTAATTTGTATGATTCCAGTATACAACTGTTACAATCATTTTGCTATGGTTTAGCAAATAAAATGAAAAGTAAAACCTGAGTTCTTTATCCCATATGACCAAATTTTAGCATTCAATACCATATGCAAGAAGCAATTACAAAACTACATTTCATCAACTTTTTATTCTTCATATAAAATACGACCATAGGAACTTTTGTAAAAGTAAATAAAAAAAATTAAATAAAGTTAACGTTATTGCTTCTTACTCCATTATTACTAAAATACAGTTTACGAACAACAGAAAATAAAATTCAATCTACCGAGAAATTATGAGTGGTGAAATTGCTATTGTCAATATAACATCCTCCAATTTCCCTCTTTTAGATGTTTTTCATATAAATTTCCAAAATATTAAAATTTATTTCGAGAAGATATTTCTGGAGAAAAATTCTATCTTTCATAACAAAATCAATTGCTTCCATACTTGACACAACTAATTTTGCAAAACCTTTTGGACTTACTTCTATCACTTCAAGATAATTAAATGCTGATAACCAAATATCAGTGTTATCATTATCATAATATGATAATTACAATCAAAATGATATTGGTGTAACTCAAAAATAATCTCTCATTAAAGTATAAATTTTACATCACATTGAATGCATTCATCAGGAAATCAATCTTTCTACGGGGAAATATCAAATATCGCGGGAAATATCAAATATCAATTAAATGCACCACTTTTTGTTTACAAAACACTTTTAGTTGGAAAAACAATACAACCAGGCAATAAAATGTGAACAATCCGATTTTGAATTTCGGCTTTCAGAAATAATAAGTGGATCAGTAAAAAGCATGAGATTTTTGATGATAATAATTTTTATTACGGTACTACTATGAGTAACAGTTTAAAAAATTAGATTGCTGATGATAGCTATGTATGCGTATCAGCGATAAACTTTACTCTGAAAAATAAAATCACCATTGAAGTTCAACGCTTATTTTGAATAAGAGAAAAATGTAATAACTAATAGAGATAGAAAAGTCATAAATTAGGTAGCTCATTTCGCAAATAATGCATTATTTTGACACTTTGGAACACTTTTGCTGGCCATGTAAACTAATTACAAGGTTTACAAATGGATCGACTGCTTTGCAGCAGTGAAAGTAATTATGCAAGAAAAACAAATAAGAAAATAACTTACAATACTTTTGTTGTGACTTGCGGTTGATAGCCATGGCGAACAAGTGCTTGTGTTTACAGTTAAAACAGCGATTTTTATATGAATGTTTGTTTTGAATTAAAAGAATAAAAGGGTGATATTAAAGGACAGAATAGAAGTGAATGTAATTATAGGAAAATATATCATAATCGGTTAGTATGATATTGAGAATGCATGTTAACCATAGCTAAACAGTATGCATGTGGAACATCAAGCAAATCAGAAAGTGAGCAATATTTCAGAAAGAATTGTCTATTCTGTCTTTTCCATCATTCCTTTATTAAATTAAGCTTAAAATAAACGTTTAATTAAGATCAGCTTTGCATGATCTGGGAAGGGACAACATATTCTAATTAATGATAGAAAGAAAACCTGCTGCAATACTTGCTGCCATTCTCAACTTTTCATAATACAATGATGCTAAAATACATCCACACACACGCAGATACACAAAATACTACACACAATAAAATGAAGCAGATGTTTCCGTTTAAGCTTTTTTGACTCTTGAAGTTGTTTAATTTGTAGTGAGAAAACAAACAAATGAGGGAGCAAGACGAATAGTGGGCCGAGCATGGAAAGCAATCAATCTCAAACCGTGTCATTAACGAGCAAGCCTTAAAAATATTGTGATATGTTAATAATCACTTTCAATTCATCCCACACACATTCCCTCACCCATTAATCTATCTATCTACATATTTATCAACCTACATATCTATCTATTCAATCAATTCATCCGTCTATCTATCCAAGTATCCAACTCAACATAATATAGTAGAGCAGGAAAAGTAAAAAGTGCAGTGGCCTCAAGCTACTCTTCATCGAGCTCACATTCACAGGCCTTATGTAATGAATGAAGACAGGCACAGGTTTGGAAGAATGCATGCAGACTACGAATCACTACTATTCATTCCATGTTCATACTAAAGCCCATATATCGACCATTACTTGAGTCTAGAAAAATGCACCACAGATATTTACACACCAGCCTCTCTGTGCATTATCCATCCACGCATTTAGCCAGCCATCTTGCAGTCTATTTTTCTACCTATAAATCTACTCGTAAGCCACTCCTCTCTTCTACTTTGCCTACAAAACATGCTATGATTGGAAAAGTTCACTAAGTGCCCCCAATATAGACCTATGCTCCGAGAAAGAAGTAACAAAGACTTGCTGCAAAGACATCAGTAAACTTAACTATTCATTCATATTTAACTCTTTAAACTTTAAATACACATATACACAGGACAAATTTTAATTAATTTAAATCCCAACTCGAGAGAGATAAAACACTTTTGATCAATAAGTTATGCTCACCTTTCACTTAATGCCATTACATTGTATGAATCAGCCAGCAGGAAAATAGAAAAGTTGACAAATTTCTTCTAGCTTTAAATATATCATCTTTCCTTGCACATTCTAGCAGCCACTCTTAAAACTAGAGTAGTTCTCTTACCAACTCCAAAATTACTATTCGGTTTCTTCAATTAGTAACCATTCACCAACAATGATTGCACTTAATAGTGAAATTAAAATAGAAAAAACAACCACTTAAAGTTCTCACAAATTGCATTACGCAATCAGTATTAAATTTTGTTTTTTAAATCACTACTCTTACTAAATATAAATATGAAGAAGTGAAAAAACTGAAAATGAAAACAATAATTTACTTTCTGTATAATAAATCACTCTCAAAATGAGAACCGATGTGAACATATGCATAACAATTTGTACAGATGCTACTGCAAAAATATTCGTAAAAATTACTAGCAACCGTAAAAAATTACTAATATTAGTACGGATGAGTTCCACTTTAGTGTTACGTATAGACTGCGTGTTTTGCTGATAATTAAGAGATAGAAACAATGTTACTCAATCATTAAGACTACTCTGTTAAGGAAAAAAATATAACTGGTTGTTGTTTTCTCAAATCTGAATAAAGCTATCAATCAATCATCAACCACAGCTAACATCATTATTTGACCAAATTTTTGATGCAACTGTTTCAACTGATTGTTAAAAAATAATTAATGAAAAATTGTCGAAACCAGCCAAACATCACAACAATAATAATAATAATAATAATAAATAATGATAATAATAATGATAATAATAATAATCTAATAATATGATAAAGAAACATAAATATTCGAGAGTGTGGAAAAATCATTTTGACGTTTCTTTCTTGCTTAAAAAAAATATTCAGGCAAGTCTACAATTTATGAACATGCATTTCACGGGTATAACAAAAGTAATAACAGCTGTTAATCATTACAGCAACAACCTCTTCTCAACTGTTTTCCACTGCCTTCCTGCCATACAAACTTTCAAGAGTAAATAGCTAAAAACAAATAGTCCTCAAGTAAAAAAAGATAAACTGGCCAACATTTTTCCTCTTTGTTGGTAGTTAGTTTAGTTCATTTTACATTAGCAAAGGAAAGAAACGATAAAAAATGCTGCAAAAGGTGAGGGAGAAATGAAATAATTACGAATAAATTATATTCGAAAAAAAGATGCAATAAATAGCTTAATAGTTGACATATCCATTTCTATGAATGAGTACAATGCTGCAATTACATTTGATTATTTTCGAATATTTATTCGTTGGATACTCATCTTTATCATTTTCAAATTGATTTTCATTGTTTTAAATTTATTTTTGTTGAAAATGAACTTCATACTGATATATACATTACTCAGGCCCACATTTTGTTTCATTCACTGATTAAATACCTTACTGCAATCAAATTATCTCCAGCAATAATATTTGATAAAAAAACTTAGCGGACAGACGACAAAAAAAATATTGAACTAGAAAAGTATATTTCAGGCTGCATTTATACAAAAATTAGATGAATGTCACCAGAATTATCCTAAAATTAAGGGCAGGCAACATATCTTGGTTAACTAAAAGAAATTATTTTTGTGACGAACGAATAGGAATCGAATTAGCTAGCACTTTCGCTGGTCAACAAATTGATAGTGTATATATTAGCTGTTTTAAAATAATAAAAGCAAAAACAATATTGTTTGCTGATGAAAATTTACCTTGTTCCTTTCATCTTCATAGCTTTGATTACTCTCAAGTATAGCATGCAATAATTAGATGGTTGCGCAACTTTCATGATCATTTTACCAAATAAAAACAAAGCTAGAAACGAAATCTGGTTGCAATTATCCCTAATAAGCACTTAATTTATGCAAAATACAACAATTAATATGACACACAGATAATAAATCCAAGCTCTGCTATATTATTGTGAAGTTGACTAATATGACCAAGATCTACTTTATCGATACATTCGTCTACCGCACAACGCAAAAAATAGGAACAATAATATTTAAAAATTTAAAACAATTTACTTTCGATGAATGAAAATGCAATGAACAATTAACTTCTTATCTTTTATAAAAGTTAAAAACAAAGTATAAAATTATAGCAAAACAATAAAAAAGTTTGGGCGCAGTACGGTAAAAACGTGTAAATACTTTCAAAAACAAATTTAAAAAATGACTACTACCACATATTCAGTTTGAAATCAAATAATCAACTGCAGCTTCAACTGCTGAGATAAAGAAGTATGAAAAAAAGTTAGACGTTGAAAAATCAAAAACAATATTTGTATGATACTGACATCAAACCAAAAGACAAAAAAAAGATGTAGAATACTTTTCAACACGATAATAAAAGTGAAAGTAAAAAGAAAAGACAACTTACAATAAATTAGATGCATCTGTTGACTTCTGCTTTTAATACCGGATAGGGTAAGCTTTACTGATGCTGCAACGGATGCATCATTTTCGTTTAATTCATACTTTTCCGTGTCACCACCTTGCGTATTTATCTCAGTTACTTGGCTTTTTCCAGTTTCATTCAAATTACCGTTACCATTACTAATAGTGATATCAGCATTGGTGTTTGGTGATAAACAGCTGATAACAACCGTTTTAGTGTTGTCATCTTTACTCTCCATCACTTCTTTTACCAGAATATTATTACCACACAGGCGAAAAATTTTAACATTATCAGCATCAGCTTTCTCTTGCGAAACAAAATTTAACTTATACTGTACAGACATTTTGGCTATTTGCTGATAATTTAAAGGTTTTTGTAATAATCGTGTGCGCAAATTGGTAACTGAAGTGATAATATTAGTAGACAGCACATTGGATGTTGTTGTAGTTGCAGCAACACTGGTATTATAATTGAAGCAAATGTTTGAATTATGGGGTAGAAATCGATAATAAAATAGCAAATCTGATATGATATTTCTTGAGATAAACAATATCTCAAGATATTGTTTGTTAGGGTGTCTGAACGCAGAAACAGCTACAAACGGATTACATAAACTTAAATTAAGCTTGGATTTGAGCACATGGTTCACATTTAACAGTGGAAAACTGTAAAAAGTTTGTTGTAATTGAAAGATGGTGAATGACAAATTTTCTGCTGTTGGGTACAACTTTACGTAAGAAGCAATATATTCTAATTCGATGTCTTCTCTTGACTCAATTCTCGATGTTGAAGAAAAATTTATAAATCTGCTAATAACGTGAACGATATGATTACCTAAATTACTCACAGTGATAGGTGCAATCGAATAACTCCTAGTTCGCATGCTCCACAGGACAGGTTTCAAAAGAGCCTTTCTGACAACATTGTTAGATTTAGAAGCTGTCGAAAATTGAAGATAACTGTTGCTAATGGCAGCAATGTTGTTGATATCAGATGTTGACGAAGTTGAAGTATGTGGTTGGTGATGACGACATGCTATTAAAATGTTCAATTTCCTTCTCAAGCTCCAGTAATGTTGACATACTGTTCGATCAGTCAGCTGACTTAATGACAACTTTGCACAGTCACGAGGAAGACAACTATAATAATAATAGCAATTATAATGAAGCATTTTCAGTTTTTAGTTAAGTTATCTTCTTTAACAATTTCCCTTGTTCTTGCTTTTGTATTTGTTGGTTTTGATAAAGTTTACCTTTCTTGCAAAGGTTGTGAAACTGCTGCTACAAGTCTGCAAACTTTCACGTTGTTAAAAGCAAATCCAATAACACGCATGGAACAAATACTCCTCTCTTCATTAAATAACGAATAAGCTAATGACAAAAAGTCTTACATATTGAAAACGAAAAATGTCCTCATGATGTAGTTCTCATTTTCCTCCGGTATTAAAAAATACAAGCATGTTAAGCACAAATTAATATCAGCATGCAAAAATGAAATAGTCGTAATTGCAAGTTTTTTTCATAATTGCTAGTATCAGTTACTACCACTCCTTTTTTTTCGACATAATCGAATGAGGAAGCAACTATCCATTATGTTTAAAGCATATTTGCAAAAGCACCTTTACGATCTAAAAAATTCCTTTCAATGGGTTAAACATGCATATAATTCTGATCGATATGCGGGACATCTATTTAGTCATTTCTTCAACTTTGATAATAAGACTAACTTTATAGCAAATTGTAGTTAATCAGCTGCATTAACTGGCATTGTAAAGATGGAAAAACAATAGTATCCATTACAGTTTAAAAGAAATTAGATTATCTGAAGAAAGCACAGAAAATATGAAAACTATAAAATTTTATATGGTCGCGAATAACTTACTAGTAGTAAAAAAAGTTGAATTAACGAAATTCGGTAGTTATATGTAAGTACAGAAACTAAAAAGAAGATATAACGATGAACGACGGAAACTTATAATGGATAAAAAAGGTAAAATATGAATGAGCGTAAATGATTCACTTTGCATATGAATCAATAAGTTGAGTTCATCAGTAAGTGAAAAAATGCGATGACTACACAATGCCATAATTTTTTATAGAATTTAACATAAAACCAATTTTTCTATCTGCTTCCGCAGTGATTGGTTTTGGAACAAATAGCCAAAAAATTAAGAAAAATGAGCTTTAGTTCTTCGAAATATTCTTCTACCAAAGGTGGTACTCACTGCTGCACTAATATTTATTGCTTTTGCTTTTTGATAAACTTACTATCACAGTAGTTCACTTCAGCATAAAATACATTTTTTCAAATGGCTAGTGATAATTACTAATAGTATTTTACAAGCTAAACAACTCTCAACTGTAATTTTTACTCAGAAAAGAGGAATTTGCTAGTGCGCGCTATCGTAAATTTTTTGTCCGTTTGGCTTCTTCAGCTAATTTGCTCTTCACTGCCGAACTGCTAGCTGTCTTAGCTTGCAAACAGAATAACTATTGTAATTTTTTTCAAGAAAGTGCACCAACAAAAACTTTAAATTTGGCTTACATGAATATATGCACTACGAATGAATAATGGTTTTTATCGTTATTCCCAATCTTTTTCGATAGTAGAGTGATTCATAACTTTTATGCAGAATGTCATATATATATATATGACGAAAAGTACAGGAAGCATCGTAAGGAGTGGGACGATTTATTGCAAAATGATGAAATTTACACATTTCTATCAATTTGATTGCTTTTCTGTGATTTTTCGTGAAAAATCGCGAAATGATTAGAAATCTATTCTTAGTCAGTCAATTACTAACATCGATGACTGCAAAAGGTAAACACATGAAATCATTATTATGACCGTCACTAGTTTCTGAATCATAAAATTATTAGTTGCATTTCTGTCAAGTCATTCTCAAAAGGGCAGGAATTACTATGTGAGCAATCAAGCAATATGTATTTCTCTACTACTAATACAGTTTGCCGTTAATGTTAATAAAATTAGATCTTAAAATGGAAGAAATAAGTGACTTACGGAAAAAAACGGAGCTGACAAGTGTTGAAGGTGAAGGCATAGCACTTAGTTTATTCCAAGAAACACTGAACGATTGTTTTAGTGATGTAATCCGAGAAATATTAACAAATGCATTGAGATGCTATTTATTCTGACTACTAAACTTATGATCGATTAATTTTCTAACTGAATGAATGAACGGATGAATCAATAAATAAATAGCTGACTATCTGACCAAATGATCGGTTCAATGCAGTGATGTGAGAAAAATGAGCGGTGACTCGAGTACGTCATGAAAAATATTTTGCAGAGTTGAATAGATGTTTACAGCAATACTTTTTCATATTCTGCTCTACTTTCACGATGAATTTCACGTGCAGTCCCGCAAATACGAATCAGTTAGAAAAAAATTTTTTTCTAATTGTAATGCATTAATTTCGGTAGCAAAAAAGTGGGAAAGATCATAATTTTGTAACTGCAGAATTATTTACTATTCTTAACACAAATTTACATGAAATAAATTAATCAGCTGCACACTCCGTTTTTGCAAATTACACGAGTGAAAATAAAAGTCAAAATTATTTACAACATAAAATTTTTGCAGCAGTCGTTAATTAAACAATCACTGATCGATTCGTCCTACGTAATGATTGAAGTGAATAATAGTTTTTCCTTGGTCAAATCACACAATAAAATACTCCGTTCGGTCATTAAAAGTTCGAAAACAGAAACAAATCAAGTCGATAAAAAATGGATAAAACGAAGGATGAAAAATGTTAAAAGCCAAGTGATAAAGTAATGATTATTAGCGTAGTGATTGATTCTACCCATTCGTGGTATTTGAAAACAAAAAAATACCACCTACCCTTTGTTGTTTGTGTGCAATAAATGTTTTCTAAGCAGTCGTCGGATGACATCAATTTCCTTCACAATGAATCCGAAAAGATTACAAGTGAGATTGAAAAAATCCATGAAACAATCATTCGTTAATTTCAGCACAGATTTTAGAGTGTGGAAAAAAAGATGTTCATGAGGAAAAAAGTGCAGTCGAAATGAGCAAAATAATCGGTAAATGTCGCATTTCTACACCCTTCACATAGTTCAGCTCATAGCGAAAATGAAAGCACGCAACTATTGATTGCTTTTGCAATCAGATTAGCCATCTTAGCGGATTGAAGTAAAAAATTGAAAATTCAAGATTTAATAAAATTTAGTGAGAGTATTGCGAATTTCATGCAAATAACACTAAATGATAACAGTAATAAAAATATAGGCAAAGTTTCAGCGTGAGTGTAGCAGCAATTTGTTTATCTTTTTGTTTAAGCAGTATGCTGCTATTCGCTGCACGTTATGAAGCTTGAACTCGTTTTGAAGCTTAATGGTGTAGTATATGTTTGTGTATGTTTTTGAATGCTTTGAAAAAACTGAAAACTTCTTCCTCTGGTTGACTTTACTCTTTTAACTAATCAATAGGAAAGTTGTAGGTACATCGTATAGAAATCAGTAGTGCTTACTTGCAACGAACAATAAGCAAAAAAAAACTTGTTGGAATGAATTCTGTAGTAATTTTTGTAAAAGTCAAAGGGTAAACAATGATGGAAGAACTTATGGTAAATTAAGGTATGTTAACATTAAACAGTGAAAAAAGAATCGATTATTTCAAACATGTGATCTGCTAATTCACTAACGTAATTCTGTAGTAAACAACTTTCGATAAGTTAGCTGCCTTTAAGTCTCCGATTCCACGAAATTTGCTAAAATTTTTCTGATTTTCCGAAATTTTTGCACAAATACGCAAAAAAAAAAAAAGCACACGCTTTGATAACTAAACAAAAGTATTTTTTTTAAATGGAATTTGCTATGAAATCAGCGGTATAATATTGTAAAGTTTTCAAAACAACAGCTATTCATTATTCACGCCGAGAACTGCATGTGTAAATTTAAAATAATCTGCGATTCAGTGATTTATACAGTAACTTTTGTCTTAACTAGTGTGAAAACAATTTCTTAGTCATATGTGAAACAATTGTTGTACAATATTTAAACAATAAATATATTAGCACAACAAATGTTATTGAGGAAGAGCTTCATTTTGTTATTTTACACGAGATATTTATGTCAGGAACAAAATGACATATCATTATAACAAAAATCGCAATCAAAATAATCCAACCACCTATTCTTTACTAGTAATATACTTGAAGAAAGCAATTACTAATAGATTAATTTTTTTGTTGCATACTTGAAATGTTTCAAAAAATTTGAACACAGCAGTCAATTACAAATCCTTTTACTGTTAACAGTTACGCTTTTTTGTTATTCACTTTATAAGTAACTGAGCTCTGGTCTTGACTGTTGATATTTTAAATTTACAGATGCAACTGTTAGTGTAAAGCACTTTTTATTTTTCTTAAAGTTCAAATTCCGCTCACGAAAAATATGTAATGCTGGTATGGAGTTTATTCACAGGTGACGCAGAATATTCATTTTAAATATGAGTGCTGCGCCAGCATTCGAAATGAAAATTTTGGTAATTACGAATGACAAACCCTTTTTGAGGTATTGATCGGTGATGTGAACTGATTGGTGATTCCGAGTGCTGCTGCTTTTAAAAGAAGTAAAACGACGTGACACCCCACCTTTGCTGCGTTTTTGGTGTGGATGTTTACGAACGAAGAAAGATGATAATATCATACTTAGTTTATTGCTTCCATGACATACTAGAAATGACAGAAAAGTAGAATTGTAAAAAGTTAGTCATTCCATAATTGACTACCTCACCAAAACTAATTAAAATGTTTGACTAGGAGAAAATTTATATTAGAAATCAATGGAAGCTATAAAATGTATTGACCAAAAATAATGCTAAACAGTTCAAGTTTTGCCTTACTATTATTTGTACAAAAACCACTGGCAGTGCTGAAGATACATACGATTGCCAACTACAGAAAAAACAGGTCAGATCGGTGAGAAATACCGAGAGACAGATGAGTAAGTAGATAAATAGGTATACAGTGAATTCACAGTGAATAATTAAAAGCGATTACTTGCATGTGACAGCTCGCAAAGAGATCAAGGATGTATTGAGTGCTATTGATTATTTCAAACTACTCAGTTACGCCCCATTGGAAGAATCATGTTCTGTACATGTGATCTTTCCTCCTCCAAGTATTTCATTTCGAGATGATTTAGTTAGATTATAGAAAAGACTATATAGTTGCCTCTATTTGCTTCATTTTGTTCATACTTTGCGAGAAATGATCAAACATAATGTGAGAACCCTTAGTGAATCATAAGAGAATAATGGACAGTTGATAGCAGAGCTGATC